TCCCTACAGTTCACACTACCTTGCACCCTATCCCAGACTAATAAAAAAAATCAACCAAAAAATGTTACAGGACAGAAAACCTCCAGAAGACACTAGAGCTACATGAAGAACAAGCTACACCCAGCAGCAGTGAGGTATTTGTCAGTAAATATGTGTTGTTGCAAATGTGTAATTTATATGAAATAGTAAAATGGTATTATTCTTTGCCATTTTGTAATGAAGGAGCTCACTATAATCAAACACATGAAACTGGCTGTAAAATGGATACATGCCAATAGACATGTGTTCAGGGGTCCTGTGGAAGAGCCTCTTTTCCTCAGAATGGAAGAGGATGACAAGGAAAAGGCCCTTCAAAATCTCATCAAAGATGTGGAAGACTGCAGAGACCCATTCACATTTAATTTTTCATTCAGGGAAGACATGGATATTTTTTTAATTGAATGCCATGAAAAAATGGGATTCAAATCGAATTCTTCTTTTGAAGAGTGAAAAGTATAAGACTTTCAAAAGCTTTTTTTTTTTTTTTTTTTTTTACAATTGATGACAGCTAAAATTGCACCTGGCACATGGATGCTACTAAGAAACAAGGTTAGTTTTGTAATTGGGACATATGTCAATGTCTTACACACAACCTAAATATTTTTATTTTTCATTTTTTTAAGGATGTCCCCCAACAGATTGGCTATGTGGACTGTGGAGTCTTCATGTTGATGGTAAGGCAAATCGTGTTTTGCTATAAATAAACTAATGCTTGCCTTCTAATTTAATGTATTGACAGTATCAGTTTGTTTCTTCTGGGATCCCTAAACAATGGCATTGCTATCTTTCATCTTTCAAACTCCTTTTGCCCCATTTTAATTATGATTTGACTTTTTCTTAAATTTTGCTGTTTTTTTTAGTATGCTCTACACGTTGTGTTGGGAGCCCCCTTTGACTTTACATCTGTAAGTAATTAGGAGCACAAGCAATTGGATTTCATGCTGTTTTGATATTTATAAGATTTCTCTGAAAAGTATTCTTGACATCAAAAGTCCCTTCTCTCTGTCTTTAAGTATTTGTTACAAAACAAACATGACCTAAATATCTCATCATAACCTAAAGTCAAAAAAAATGTTACGGTTTACTAGATTGATCAAAATGAATATCAATTTAAAAAATAAAATAGTTTTTTATATAATTTTTTAGCATTTTGTGTATTATTAAATATTGTAAATCCTATCAAAATTCTTGGGATAGCTCATATTACAGCTAACAAAAGAAAACCACTACAAAACTGCGACAGATCCACCGTTAACCATATATGGTTCGCCTTACTTCCGGCCTGGATCATGTGGTATGGATTGTGTGTCCTGAAACGTGTGGGGCTGCGGGTCTGCAGCTGGATATATCTATATAAAGGGATAGTTCACACAAAAATTAAAGTTCGGTCATTAATTTCTCACCCTAATGTCGTTCCAAACCCGTAAGACCTTCGTTCATCTTCTGAACACACGCGGAGGAGAAGAATTGTTGAATAGAGTGGGTTTTTTTGGGGGGGTGTGGGGGGTGTGCAAAAAGTATTCTCGTAGCTTCGTAAAATTATGATTGAACCACTGATGTCACATGGACCATTTTAACAACGTCCTTACTATGTGTCTGTGCCTTGACCGTGGTGGTAGTACCGTTGCTGTCTATGGAGGGTCGGAGAGCTCTCGGATTTCATCGGTGGCCGTGGGTTAAAATGATTCTTTTGATTTTTTTACATTCAGCGCAAACAGCTGTTGTTGAGGCTTGCGCTGCCTGATTGTTTGTGAGAGACTTTCATGGAGAAATTAAATGTGTAACGGCATTCATAGAAACATACTGAGGTAAAAATTCAACATGTTTAGTTTATTTCTAACATGATGTATTTAAGTAACATACCACATGACAAGGGAACTATTTTGCGGGTCAGAGAGCTCTCGGATTTCATCGGTGGCCGTGGGTTAAATGATTCTTTTGATTTTTTTACATTCAGTGCAAACAGCTGTTGTTGAGGCTTGCACTGCCTGATTGTTTGTGAGAGATTTTCATGGATAAATTAAATGTGTAACGGCATTCATAGAAACATACTGAGGTAAAAATTCAACATGTTTAGTTTATTTCTAACATGATGTATTTAAGTAACATACCACATGACAAGGGAACTATTTTGCTGAATATTTTTATGAGTGCAAATATTACCTTGATTTTAGTTCAACAAACAAGTAAATTTTAGACACAATATTGACTGTTTTGTTCTGTTTCACCAATGAAAATAGTTCCAAAGAAAGATGACAGCAGAAGTATTTCACATTCTCCAAGCAACACTCCGCATTGTTTCAGTACAGCGTTTTGAACCAACCAATCAGTTAAATAAGTGAATTCCCATCATCTACTGCCGGTTTAGTGTATTTAAAAGTATGATTTTTTCCTCAGCATATATTTTTTGTATAGGCCTATTAAAAATGTATTGAAGTTTGTAATTTTGCACTGTAAATTTAATTTGATTGGTAACAGCCAGATGATGCATACATTTAAAGAAAATATGACGAGGCACTGGACGTGACAAAGCGACCACTGCAAATAATTTTTACTTTGTGTCAGTACGTCATAAATGAAGAAGGCATCAGTTTAATGTCGGTTTTTATCATGTCGCGCCACGCCGCATTCAGTGTAGACAGCGTCACTGATTATAAGGTTCAAGGTTCAAGGTTTTTTATTTGTCAATGCCACCATATGTGCAGACATACAGAGGAATCGAAATATCATTTCTCTTCTCTCTCATCAGGTGTTTACATTGTCAATGCACTATAGAAGTGTGTATAAAATAATATAATAATATTCAGTCAGTGCAATATAAAACAGATTTTGTATGTAGGTAGCAACAGTGTTCTTGTACTAAACAGATGTATACTGTATATACTGTATATATAGACCGAGTAAATAAATCTTGTAGAACTTTCTGAATTAATATACATGAGTAAATGTAAACATTGAACTTTGTTAATGTATAAATATACGTCCAGATATATGTAAACAATTTGTAAAGTGCAAATATACATCCAAAATATATAAACATTTTGAAGTTCTGAGTATAAAGGCATTTGTAAGCTACAAGACAGATAGCAGCAGTATGGCATTAGTGCACAAAAATACTGTAAAGTCTGTAAGTGCAGAGAGTATAAAGTGTCCTGTGCAATGAAAGAAATGTGGGGTGAACTGTAGATTTTGAGGGGGGAGGTAATGGACAGAGTTCAGCTTCCTGACAGCCTGATGGACGAAGCTGTTTGAAAGCCTTGTGGAGTGAGTCTGGAGGCTCCGGTACCTTCTCCCTGAAGGCAGAAGGCTGAAGTGGAGGCTTAACGGGTGTGAGCTATCAGCAGTGATGCTGATGGCTCTGCTAGTGAGGTGGGTGTGGAAGATATCCATAAGGGAGGGCAGAGAGACACCGATGATCTTGCTGGCTGCATTCACTATGCATTGCAGAGTCTTTCAACAGGATGCAGTGCTGCATCCGAACCACACTGTGATGCAGCTGGTGAGGATGCTTTCAATGGTGCCCCGGTAGAAGCAACACATGATGTGAGGTGGGACTCGTGCTTTCCTTAGTCTTAGTTTTTGGAGGAAGTAGAGGCGTGACTGAGCCTTCTTGGCAAGCGATGTGGTGTTTGTCGTCCAGGAGAGGTCCTCAGATACAGAGTATTTGTAATTCGTTACTTCACACCCCTGCTTATTTCTGATATTGTCCTTAAAAGCAATATCTTCTTTTCTCACATACCCCATAGAGAGGGAGACAGAGAGACAGAGGGGGAGAAATAGAGGAGCTAAAGTCAGATTTTCCATCATCTCTTCATCCCATTCCTTCTCAGGAGTTTTAAGTGAGTATAAGATGTCCATGCTATGTATTTCACAGCTCTTTTCTGATTTTTCAGAGAAAATGCCTGAGATCTATTTATCTAAGCGTACCATGGATTCCTCCCCGGACATTTGGGCGGATGAGGGAACGGACCATAAAAACACAAAAACATTCCTCAGGACTTCATTTACGACATCGGACAGCATTGGACAAACATACAGGTGCATCTCAATAAATTAGAATGTCGTGGAAAAGCCTAGGGACTTGGTGCTGCTCACCCTCTCCACTACGGCACCATTGATGGTTAGTGGGGGGTGCTGCTGAGGTCTTCTTCTGAAGTCGATGACAAGTTATTTTGTCTTCCCCACATTAAGGAAGAGATTGTTGTCGTTAAACCACTGGACCAGTCGGCTCACTTCGCTCCTGTAGTTGGCCTCAGTGTTGTTGGTTATGAGGCCCGCTACAGTCGTGTCATCCGCAAACTTGATAATGTGATTGGTACTGTGACTGGGTACACAATTGTGGGTCAACAGGGTGAAGAGCAGCGGGCTGAGTAAGCACCCTTGTGGTGCCCCTGTGTTTAGCTTGATGTTCTTAGATGTTTTTCCACCGACCCGTATATTTTGTGGTCTCTCTGATAGGAAGTCCAACACCCAGTTACAGAGAGGGGAGTTGAGTCCCAAGTGTCTCAGTTTGTTTATTAGCTGCTGTGGGATGATTGTGTTAAATGCTGAACTAAAATCCAAGAATAGCATTTGCACATAGGAGTCTTTGGAGTCTAGGTGAGTAAGGGCTGGATGGTGAGCAGCTGAGATGGCATCTTCCGTGGACCTGTTGGTTCTGTATGCAAATTGGAACGGGTCGTGGGAGGAAGGAGGAATGGATTTTATGTGCTGCATGACCAGTCGCTCGAAGCAGTTCATAATGATGGGGGTCAGTGCAATGGGCCGGTAGTCGTTGTGGCTGGATGGATGCGGCTTCTTTGGGACTGGAATTATTGTGGTGGCCTTGAAACACTTGGGGACGACTGTTTGACTCAGCGAGATGTTAAAAATGTCAGTTAGTACATCCTTGAGTTCTTCAGCACAATCCTTTAGAACCCGACCAGGTATGTTGTCTGGTCCGGCTGCCTTGCGTGGGTTGATCCTCAGGAGGGTCTTTTTCACGCTGTCTGGGGTCAGACACACAGCCTGCTCGGGTGGGAAAGGTGGGATCTTCTGTGCCTGTGTGTTGTTTTGGGTCTGAAATCGGCCAAAGAATTCATTGAGGCAGTTAATCAGAGATATGTCACTGTCACAGGTCCATGGTAGGGCTTTATAGTTTGTTAAAGTTTGTATTCCTTGCCAGAGACTTTGTGTGTCTCTGGTGTTGCTGAAATGTCCAGATATTTTATTGCTGTATTGTTGTTTTGCTTCCCTGATTCCACGGGACAAGTTGGCTCTTGCTGTTGCTAGGCCTGCAGTGTCACCAGCTCTAAAGGCTGCGTCCCGAGCCCTCAGAAGCTTGTGCACTTCTCCTGTCAGCCATGGTTTCTGGTTAGCCCGAATAGTGATGGTTTTCCTGTGTGTGACGTCATCAGTGCACTTTGAGATGTAAGCAGTAACAGCTTCAGTATATTCCTTTATGTCTGTGTGGTTGTTGTAAGTTGTTGCTTCTTTAAAGGTGTCCCAGTCTGTTGTGTCAAAGCAATCTTTAAGGGCAGACTGGGCCCCCTCTGGCCACACACGTACCTCCTTCTTGGTTGGTCTGGTGACTTTCAGCTTTGGTCTGTATGCAGGTCTGAGCATGATGGTGATGTGGTCAGAGAGTCCAAGGTGGGGGAGGGGGGAGGCTTTGTATGCTCCTTTGCAGTTTGTGTATGCCAAGTCCAATGTATAATTGCCCCTTGTGGGAAAGTCTATGTGCTGATGAAGTTTTCGTAGAAAAGCCTTTAAATCTGCGTGATTAAAGCATGATTAAAGTCCCCAGCAGTGATGAGAAATCTGTCAGGGTGTGTTGTCTGTTGCTCGCTGATAGCCTGGTAAAGTTCATTGAGTGCCTCAATTCGGTCGCTGTTGTTAACGCTGGGGGGGATATAAACAGCGACGAGTAAAATGACTGTAAATTCCCTCGGTAGGTAGAAGGGTCGGCACTTGATAATAATAAA